GTCTCCGTCTGCGGTGATCTTGGAGCCCAAATAAATGAAGTCTGTTACTGCTTCCATTTGTCTAAAACAAGGATCAGCAATATGACCTGAAGATATCAAGGCATCCATGATACTTCTAGACAGCGTTCATGAATCCCTCCAAATTAAAATGAAATAATAAAGTAAATGGTTGCCAAATCTCTCATTTTGTGCACAAATATTTCAAGATGTGGGGTCAGACAGTTGTCAACCTTACAAAATTTCAGGTGAGATTATTTTGGGGAATAGAGGTTATAAGATCATGAGATTTTTAATTAGTACCTGCTAACCCCTTTCAAGGAAAGACAGGTAACATTGTCTTCCCAAGTGATTATATTCTCTGTAGTTTTTCCAGTGTGCAAATTACAATCACGTGGCTTCTAATTGCATGACACTAATAGCAGTCTAGATGTACACACTTGTTTGCACATAAGCTTTCTCTTTGCGGACATCAACATGTGTAAATGTGACAGTTGGACTAGGCCATTCATATAATCTCTATCCTTCTTTTATACGTGTGAAAATTGGTAAACCCAACTGTTGCTCGTTCCAATCTTGAGCACCATTTCAGACCGTACATATAATGTTCTTCATATAAGTGCTTTCTACATATTTGCAGGCTTTCCTTTTGGGCTGTAAACAGAAATACCACTGATTGTTTTCAGCAATCCCATTATAATTCTGGGTGCAACTCAATCATAATCCAGTCCTGATTATGCTGGATGGCTGTAAAAAAGATAGAACAGATTTAAAAAGCAACTTCAATAGGTAAAGGAAAAGAGCTCAGCTGTTGCTAAACTGCAAAAATGTATTTGGGGTTTTCCCAGCTGGGTAAAGGGAAATTAAAGCTCTACAGGGAAAAAAAAACAGTTGAAGGAAACTATTTCTGCAGAAAAGGTTTAGTTCACCTCTGTGCCACCAGTGCCATACTAATAGTTTCCCTCTTCCATTTCTCATAGATCTGAAATTCAAGTCTGCCCCTAATTTCTCTGGCAAAGATGCTCATGGAGCTTCTATGTACCTGTATTTGGCTTCATTCATTCATTCATTCATTCATTCATTCATTCATTCATTCATTCATTCATTCATTCATTCATTCATTCATTCATTCATTCATTCATTCATTCATTCATTCATTCATTCATTCATTCATTCATTCATTCATTCATTCATTCATTCATATGTCAAATTTATATCACCACCCAACTCCCCCACAAGGAGGGACTCTGGGCAGTTCACAACAAAACAATTTAAAATCAGTAAAAGCATAAATAATACAAATATAAAATACAATTATTAAATACAATAAAATCCAAGAGATGGTGATATTATTTCAGCCTGTGACCAGATAATATCAGTCAAAGGTAAGACTAGGGAACCACCCAACCCCAAAACTGGCTATTCCCATCCCCACCCCATGCATGATGACAAAACCAGGTCTTCAATTTTTTTCTGAAATCTAAAAGGGAGGGGGCCAACCTCACTTCTGGGGGAAAAGTGTTCCAAAGGGCAGGGGCTGCTGCAGAGAAGGCTCGCCTCCTGGACCCCGTCAGATGAAATTCTCTCGCAGAGAGTCCGTAGCATGCCCTCAGGAAAAGAAGGTTCAGTGAAAGAAACTGCTGCTGTTCTTTCCTCAGCTTGCTGTTGTGATTAGAATTAGTGTCCATATGCCCCAAAAGCCAGGAGATCTCATTATGGATTTCCTGTGTACCATCTCCTTCAGTTAATCTTTATGTTTGTTACTTTGACTCATTGCTTAGTTTAAAACCATTGGGAACTTTGCAGGTGTTATTCTCTATATTCTCTTGGTGGGATACCCTCCTTTTTGGGATGAAGATCAACATAGACTCTATCAGCAGATCAAAGCTGGTGCTTATGATGTAAGTAACCTATGCTTCAATTTCTGTTTGTTTTTATCATAATGGTTTACTATCACCTAAAACAACACAATTAAGTATTTGTGTTTCTGCCGTTCTCTTACTTCCCTCCCCACCTCTGAAGTTATTCTGGTGACTGAATTTTTCCTTTATTGTATTTTCTATTACCATTTAATACTCAAATAACTGTGAGTATTTACAGTATGTGCTTTAAAGAGACGTGGTAAGAGTAATGGATGCATGATGACTGGCATGTGTAAGGAAACTTCAATATGGCATATCCTGTGTAGTAATGTAGTTTGATTTCTTTTAAAAGCAAAGTCACAAATCTATTTCAGAAACAATAAATAAATAATTTCTCACATAAATCTCTACATAGCCATAGTTATATTTTGGAATCAGGTATAGAGATAGCCAAGAGCCAGTTTGGTGTAACAGTTAAGGCACTAGGTTAAAAACCAGGAGACCGTAAGTTCTAGTCCCATCTTAGGTACAAAGCCAGCTGGGTGACCTTGGGCCAGTCAATCTCTCTTAGCTGTAGGAAGAGGGCAATGGCAAGCCACTTCTGAAAACTTGCCAAGAAAGCTGCAGGAACTCGTCCAGGCAGTCGCCAGGAGTCACCACTGACTTGAAGGCACCCCCCCCTCAAAAAAAGAGAGACAGCCACAATTTTTAAGAAATGACTAGACAAATTCATGGCTATTAATCTTCCAGGCAGCAAACCTTAAATATCAACTACTAAGGAATTACCGTTGAGGTCTGTCACCCTCCTGTCAGTGCTTGTGGGTTGCCTGAATGGAGTTGGTTTGCCACTGTGTAACACATGCTGTGTAACGCATGCTGGACCACATAGGCCCCTGGCTGATCTAACAGAGCTCTTATGTTTTAAAATCAGGCTTCTACAGCTTCCATAGATTTACTGGTTCCCCTTTGATGTATATGTTCAAGTAAAAGCAAGACAGTCATCTTTTGATGATGCTTTATTTGGATTCCTTTCTTGATCAGGGGGTTGAATTAGATGGTTTAAAATGACCTCTCCCAACTCTAGGATTCTGTTGCTCTAACCCACTGCCCTCCAGCTCTGTTGGACTACAGCTCTCATCATGCCAATCACAGTTAATGGGAGGTGTAGTCCAAGAGAGCTGGAAGGTGCCCAATGATGCTGATGTAAATAAATATTTTCTGTATTTATTTTCTTCTGCCACCCTATTGTACCCATCCCTGACACACATCACTCCTTGACCATAGCTTCTTTCTTTATTAGGGCAAGCAGTGTTTCCTTACCTTATAGTTAGGTTTGTTACAGATTCCCACACCTGTAATCTGTCTTGATTTATTTGCAAATTTGCGTATGTACATCTGGGGCAGAAAAATGTGAAATGAACCGTGAGGAACTGGTACCGCCTACGATGTTTCCATCCTATTTTCTCACTGCTCATAATTTTCAAGTCCAGCAATTGCAGCCACAAGAGTCATTTTAAAAAATGATGAGAGTTTCCCCCCTGCCAACCCTTCCTGTTAGGCACTGATGCCTGTTGGAATGTATTTTCAAATAGACAAATGTCTCTTCTACAGCATGATTATCTTTCTTGCTATCTTGAGGAGTCCATCTTACAAATTGCTTTTCATAAAATAATAGCCTGCTTTCAGAAGGACAATCAGTCTTGCAGGCTTCACCTATGCTGAAATGTATGTGATTGCTTTCCATAATCAACAGGCAAGTATCAGTGGCATGCAATGGTCAATTCAGGAGTAGATTATCTTTCCCAACTATGTGGAAGGTTATTGGAACCTATTTACCACTATTCCCTTTCTTCATCTCTCATACAATTTAGTTTTCTTTTATCTAGATTTGACTCAGGTTTTCTGTGTCTCAGTTCAATACTAATTAATTTGTTTTTATTAGTGCTGTGCTGAACCATTCACCTGGTTTTCAGTTGCTCAATTTGTGAGAGCAGGAGGAATTCAGAGTGAAGTGAATGAGGAAAAAAGGAGTACAAATTCTACTTCAAGTTCATGGGAAGGGAGGGGAGGTTACCATATTTGGTCAGTGGCCAGCGACTTTTTTTCTTTTTATCATTTTTTTTAAATCTTTCTTTCGTTACATATGGCAGTACATCCAATTTTTTCTTACTTCTTTTTTACAGTGATCAGCTGATCACGCAATATTCAGGGGACCATTCCACACTCCTTGTCAAGTGATGTTGTGAGAAAGAAGAAAGGAGAATGTGGAGAAAAACTCTTGTGCTACTTCAAATATGAGTAGAGACTTTTAAAGCAGAGAGAGAGAAAAGTCCCATCAGCCACCAACCCAAGTTAAGACCACCTCAAGCTCTTCACAAAACGATTTATTGCCTAGAAAAGAGGCAAAACGATCCTTGCTTTGTTTTCAAGGAGTAAAGATCCCTGCAAATGCTGCAGCCCCAGTTCAGTCTGAGATGATTTTTACATATCTTTTATTTTCTTAAAATATAGCAAGATGGCT